CAGTTATTTAACATTAGACAAGTTAAATAAAAAAATGTTTATCATCGTATTGTAGTACGTCTTATTAGAAAGTGAGTGACGAAAAATTTTAAAAGAAATAATGAGCGTATAGGAATGAACTTTATATTAGTTGATGAAAAAGTTAGCATATTTTTATTTTAAATCAATAATAATTTTAATGTATTACTAATTATACTTAAATACAAAAAATGTTGGGACAATTACAAAAATGCCACTTTTTGTGTGTATATTTGCAAAAATGCTACTTAGGGGTGTCCATTTATAAAATGCCACTAATTATAGATTTATAAAGCATATATCTTAAAATTCTAAAGTCTAAAAAATGTTTTGACACCTAAAACCCCCTAAACACTCAAAACTAAACCCTAATATAGTATAGTTAACCCAAACATAAATTATATAATGAAAAAATAATTTTGAAAAAGTGGCATTTTTGTAAAGATTTCAAAAGTGTGGCATTTTTGTAAAGTGGCATTTGGAAAGTGGCATTTTTTGAAATTTATCAAAAAATGTTTACCATCATAGTGTATTAAGTCTTATTAGAAAGTAAGAGAAGAATAATATTAAGAAAATAATGCGCTTATAGGAATGAATTTATATTAGTTGATGAAAAAGTTAGCGTATTTTTATTTTATATCAATAAGTGTCTTAATGTATTACTAATTATTTGAATAATATCTAACTACAATTTAATTTAATTTTAACGCATAAAAATACTATTTAAAACGTTTTGCATCACTAGATGATTTAGATACTTTCAAAATTTGGAAATTAATTTGTGAAAAAAATCTTATTAAAATTTGTAATTTTAGTTTGCAACTAAAAATATGAGATTCAATTCGTTAAAGTTTTGAAAAAATAAATATATGATAATAAAATAAACCTAATTCAATAAGGAAGAGAAGAAACTAACTATTTGGAAATATGAAAAGATTAATTCAAAAGAAAATAATATAATAAAAAGAGTCAAAATAATTTAATAATGGTGAGGCGTTTCTATTAGTGGTTTTTTACATTTCATATTTTGTGTTTTTTCACAGGTTATAAAATTAAAAAATTCAAATAAGACTATGATAAACTAATTCAACAATATTTTGAAAAAATAGAGTAGAAAAATAGTAAAAATTAAATTACTTCAAACATGAATAGAAAAAAAAAATTATTTTAAAAAGATGTATAAAATTTAATTGGAAATCAAATTAGATAAAAAATCAAGATAAACAAATAAGTGTTAAATTTATTTAATATCAAGATTTTCGATTTTATTTACTTTTATGAGTGATTTAA